TCTTCGCCTAATCAAATTTGCAGTGAAATGTAGAGCCTGGAGGGGGAGGGGTGGGGATATTGCAGAAAAGTTACTTCTACTGTTCTTATCGAGATACTATCCTCAGGGGCATCACAGCTACGGTAATGACACCGATATGTTGTGTCAAATACTGCTCACAGAAATTTCATCTTCAAATCACTCAAAATCATGTATGTACTGAGCATTTACTATTCTCCCTCTCATCCGTACGGATCCATTCCTAGCATGTCACGCAACGTTGGGACTGTTGTGTGACAAGAAGGAGATTGTCACGGCTGGTTGAGGCTTTTTTATGTCTCAAAGCAGCTTTCTCGTGCTTAAATTGTAGCAAAACTATCGAGCGAGAGATCTACAAGTGATTAGGTTGGCTCTGTAATAGAAAATAATATGGTGTCGCAGTTCATATAGCGATTCTTGAGAAGCAGATTCTATCTGAATGGCGCACGGGCCCATAATTTTTTCTTTTATATAAAATATACAAGGACTCAAGCATAAAAAGGGGGGCATTTCTATTGTACCTCGATCTTTTCTAGCTACATTTATCGCAAATAATTTGATTTACCTTGTCGTTCCTTGTATTAAGGAATTAATTATTCAGCAAGAATAAGGTTAAGACAAATCAGCATGGACTCCCCGTGTGAATTAATATGGATGGGGAACTCAAGAATAAATGTTTGTTCGAGTAAAGAAGATAACTTTAATTCAGCGTGACTGTATGGTATTGAGTCACAGGGATCACCATATCTAACCCATGCTCATGAAGTTCTCAAACTGAGCAGCTAACTTGAATAATAACATCAACTCACCTGAAAAAGATAGTCAAGGGAATGATGAAGTTTCCAAGGATGTTTTGTTGGTATGGTGGAGTGCGGGAACCTTTACTCGCAAATGAAATCATTCCATCGCTCAAAGAGTCAAATAAACCCACCAAAAACAACAGCATGCGGGGAACTTTTATTTTCCTGAGAGCGTTTGGTGTACATATTCGAATGTAAAGAACTGCAAGTCCAAAAATCACGAGAAATACCACATTTGTAAATAGTAATACAAAGTAGCTGTCCACCGTGTGCCCCGGGCTGTTACCTTTTGTAGAATCGATCCATAGGGGAAGTGAAACGTTCTGGCCAACCATAGAAAGGACTGTGATAAGTGCGAAAACTACGTTCGCCCAGAACAGCGGAAGTTCAAAGAAGCCTATCTTTACCGTGGCACAATTTCCATCTTTTGAGCGCGGAAGGGAAGGTGTTGACTCGGACGTCGAGCTCGGCTTTCTGTTGGAATTCGAGTTTATCGCGAAGGCAGATGAGACTGTCGGTGTGGATGAATCCATTTGTAGAATGAATTATCGACGCTTTGTTTGTTTGTTTGTTTGTTTCTTTTAAAGCTTTTGGAACGGGTACCCCTGGATGAAGGCTCTCTCGCTTCGCACCCAAGCTGATACAAGCCGACAGTGTCATGACACTCTGGTGAGAAGCACGTTTGTTAAAAACGGGTAATTTCGAAGCCCGATCATTTTGTTGATCACGCGCCATACAGAGCGTTGACCCGACGAACTCAATCTAATCACCAATCACTTAACTGTGATTTTGTGCCTCTAGGGGAAAGCATAACAACATGTGGTTTATTTTCGAACTTATCTTGGCTTAACATATCTCATGTTTGTTTCTTGTACCCTACGTTGGATTTTAAAAATCGCTACCTTTGTTGATATAGTTTGTAACAGCCGTCGCAGTAAAGAAATGAAGATGAATTTATTAACCAATTTTTTTTCAGAGAAATACAAATTTTTCCCTTTTAAGAAGTCATACGTTGAAAAAAACTATCTGCACCCGGCAAAGGTCACGATTTTCATGCTTACACTTTCCACAGTCACCGTGTGAGGAGGGAGGGTCTCAGTGGGGTTGGCCAAATTAATTATTCTGGTCGTTAGTCGTAAAAACGTTTAACGTAATTGTTTTCTTACAAAATCATCAGAAATAATTTAACCGTTGTTCATAAAAAGGCCTAACTCTTAACCGCTTAACGTAAAAGCTATCACCCTATGGGAGATCCTCGTGAGAATCAGACGCGATATGCAGGTGTGTATTACATCATCTGAGGTTACACGAGGAGCTTTGGCCCCTTAAAAAAATTCGCATCATGCATTCTACGGAGGCGGTCTATTTCTGTCATCAGTGTAGAGAATAACTTTAACGCTTGCGGTCGGTAAAATTCAACTAATAAGTAATACTTCATCTCTACTCGAATTTCAATTACGAAAACACGACAAATCTTGTATTGGAATCTCTTGGCGCGATCTCATCATGGAGACCGAAGTCTTCGATCGATCGGCTGAGCTTTCTAGAGTTACGGGATCCCATCTCGACCCCAAAAGGTACTGGTATGTCCTAACGAAAAGTTAGGCTGAATCAGGCTGAATGCTTGGTAAAATTTCCGCACAGCCCCATAGTATTGTAAAACAATATATTGTTTTTGTCATTGTTTTCTCTATCCAAGAATTGAATGCATAATGTAGTATGGGGCTGTGCGGAAATTTTACCGAATGCTTTTGCAAAGAACGAATTGTTTCGTCGATTGCGATGACTACAATACGTTCTGTCCCGCCAGCAGGTCGCAAGCGCGCCAACAAAGGCTGTTCGTTCAACGCCATGTAACTAAACAACACGTATGTTGTACCTTCAATTGGTCTCTGTGCCGGACTAATTAGACAAGGAGAATTCCAGCAGATGGATTTGCGAGGTCTCAAAATATTATCCTGTTGTTGATGCGGTAAATCAAATCGCTTTCGATCATACACTGAAAATGCCTCTCGCCGAATTATCATTGGATATTGCAAAGATGTCAGTCAGGAATAGCCAAGCTTGACAATGACATTCGGGAACTAGTAAAGGATAATAATTACATAAGTTAACGGCGGATGCCTCAACTTTCAGTCATAAGAAAGAGACCAGACAAAGAGAGGTCTCCTGAGATAAACTAGCGTGAATTCAATTTTTCGTGCCCTCTTGGATAATGTACCCCTGAGGGTTAATTTTAATCTCTTCTATACCCTCTTGGGTAATGTATACCTGAGAGTTATTTTTAATCTCTTCTATACCCTCCCGGGTAGTGTATACCTGAGGATTATTTTTAATCTCTCCTATACCCCCTTGGGTAGTGTATACCTGAGGGTTATTTTTAATCTCTTCTTTAGACTCTTGGGTAGTGTATAACTGAGGGTTATTTTTAATCTCTCCTATACCCTCTTGGGTAGTGTATACCTGAGGGTTATTTTTAATCTCTTCTCTACCCTCTTGGGTAGTGTATACCTGAGGGTTATTTTTAATCTCTCCTATACCCACTTGGGTAGTGTATACCTGAGGGTTATTTTTTAATCTCTCCTATACCCTCTTGGGTAGTGTATACCTGAGGGTTATTTTTAATCTCTCCTATACCCTCTTGGGTAGTGTATACCTGAGGGTTATTTTTAATCTCTCCTATACCCTCTTGGGCGGTGTATACCTGAGGGTTGTTTTTAATCTCTTCTATACCCTCTTGGGTAGTGTATACCTGAGGGTTATTTTTAATCCCTCCTATACCCTCTTGGGTAGTGTATACCTGAGGGTTATTTTTAATCGCTCCTATACCCACTTGGGTAGTGTATACCTAAGGGTTATTTTTTAATCTCTCCTATACCCTCTTGGGTAGTGTATACCTGAGCACGGCTGTTTCAAAACGCCCGCCAGTGGAAATTTAGTTCGCGCATGTCAGATTGACATTTTCAATTTGAAACCGCTGAAAATGTACGTTTAACGGCTCAACAAGAAAGAGCCCACTGATAACTAGGTCGCAAAAAGTATATGCGCAAAGCCCAAGGAAATAGCTAACTTATGCGCAGACATTGTATTTTGCTTCCCTGGTTAATGTTCTCCTATAGAAGATTGCGTGTGCGGGATAGTTAACTATGCGACGGCTTAATGGCATCTTGTTTTGACGCGAGATGACTTATCGCCTTTCTGAGGTCTTCTTATTTTCAGGCAAGATTCTGATTGATTCGAATTTTTCTTTCAATAAAGGAACAACTCAGGCTTTACGTCTCTCCTTTGCCATCAGTTTCTTTACCATGACGTTTTAATCCGAATTGTTTTGAGCGGTGTAATCTGCGATTACACATCACCACCGAAATAGTAAATATGGTGTCCATCTCCCCTTTGACCTCGAACTAATGCCCCTAAACTACGCGAATTTATCCTCTGAATGATCTCATGCTTACCCATGGGCTAAACAAAGAATACACGATTTATGACAAACTGATAAAATGTCCACGGCTTTCTGTTACGTGCAAGAAAGTCGAACTACGTGCGTGTGATTTCCTCCTCGAAAAGTGTATGTCATCGATCTGTCACGGGGAGCTACGTGAAATAGTGAAAGCACGGACAAGACGTTTCTTTCCGTCAACATTTCAATCATGATCACGGATAATAAACCTTACAATTATATGTTACCATTTGTGCTTTGATCTGATAGTTAAATCGTTTTTCTTGGCCGTGATTAACATGGTTTTTGGCGAATATTCCCTCTCCCTTCAAATGGAATGAACTACACGCAATAACACAAGAATGCAAATATTCCCGCACCCCTGAAGAACCGATCGAGAGAGATAAATAGACACCCCTTCCTGAAACAAGGTACAAACCCTAAGGGTGTACCCTTCTGAAGCAATAAAAGGCCGGAAAAAGGAACTTCGGAACATATCTTGAGTCAACTTAGAACTGCGTTGCTTAATCCAAGTTTAGTTTACAACTCGGTTCGATTAGTGCATTCAGATGGCTAACTTTGGTCTCTCTGAACATCAACAAATATTGGAAAAAATTTGCCGAATTTGTGGAGAGCGATTGAAGAAGGCAAAAGATAAGTATGAGAACAGTTTTCTTTGCGCCGATTAGACGGAGATTATTTTCACAGCCTTTGGTGTCAAAGTTCGTAAAGATGACCTTGACATGTGCCCTCCTAAGTTCTGCCACAAGTGTTACAAGCTTGCTTTAAGAGGAGGCACACGCCTTGCAATCAATGTGTGGCCTCCACACAAACGCACTGGAAACTGTAAGATCTGCAGTTTCTTTAAGGATCAACAGAAACCTGGTAGGAAGAAGAAGACTAAACCTGGAATAAAACCCAGAGAGGACTCAGCTGAACCCAAGGAACAAGTGGAAATGGTGGAAGGAATGTCTGGCACTTTAAGCTTCCAACCTGACCCAGCCTCACTCTCATTCTCTGAGGAGGTAAAGCCAGAACAGTTTGTTGAAAACATCAAGCATGAGTATATGTGCCCAATTTGCAAAGAGGTACTTGATCAACCAGTCCAGACAAAATGTCGAACTCCACACATATTTTGTGCTAGTTGCTTATCATTTTCTGTTGCATATTGCTGTGAATTATAGTCTAATTATAGTTGGTTATCATTTTAGGAATGGAAGGCTGACATGGAACAATGCAATCCCAGAAAATAAAGTGCACATAAAACTTGGAGGAGATGCTGGTGGTGGGTCATTTAAAATGGCCTTCCAGATTGCTAACCTGAGGCATCCAAATTCTAAAATCAACACAGTGGTCTTTGCCATGTTCCATGCAAAAGATAGTTGGGCTAATTTAAAGACAGCCTTAATGAAATATAAAGAACAAGTAAACACCTTGAAAGAAGCAACCTGGGCATAAGTGAAAAAAAATTTATCACACTTTTAGTTAATCGGGAGAATAGAGACTTGAAATAGCATAATATTAATTAAATTTTTATTTTTGTTTTGCCCATTTCTAGAGGTAAAAAGAAAGTGGTTTTCCTGTTTGGTGACTATGAGTTCCTATGCAAGCTATTTGGAATAGCTGGTGCCTCAGGTATGATCCAGACAATAATTCACATATACAAATAATAATGATTTAGCAATTCAATAAAAGAATATAAATGTAGCCTCTACTCTACATAACTATTTCTGTGAAACAGGTTTCCACCATAAGAATTGTATTTGCAGGCAAATATCCATGTCTTTGGTGCAAGATAAATCATGAAGTAATGCAAGTCTCTTGCCATAAACATGGGCATGCTGAAAAACGAAGTCTTGAAAACATTCAAGAGGATTATGATAAGTTTGTAGCAGATGGCTCTGTTACAAGTCGACAGAAGTTTTATCACAATGTGATTCATGAGAAACTGCTGGACATTGAATTGGACAAAGTAAGATACAAGAGTTTATTTTATTGCTTTGAAGAGGGACTTACAGGCCACCTAACTAAATGGTTGTCTATTTCAGGTTTGTGTTCCTGGACTTCACATTAGCTTGGGTGTGTTTAAGAAACTGTTTGACGAACTAGAGAACCAGTGCTTTGAGCTGGACAAAAAAATTCAAATGGTTCTAGCAGGAGACAGTGAAGAGAATGATGAGAAAATCCAGGCATTCAGAGCTGCCCAACTACATACCAGACAAGCACAACAATTTAATGAAAAAGCCAATTATTTACAGGAGTTGCTGAATTTACAAAGTCTGCATGCTAATGTTGATATCATGCCTGCCTACTTTACACTACTACAGGAGGAGATAGCCAAAACTCCTTGGAAATGCAAAGGAGGAGGTAAAAATAATATATTGGTGCTTTCCAGTATCATAGCTGTACAATCCTCCAAATCCATTTTACATGTTTCAAACCCATTTTTTAGTTAAAGAAGTTATGATTTTATTTTATAGATCATTTATTTGTAATATTACAAGGGCTCAAATTATCAAATTATAGCAATTAAGCAGTAAGTCAAATAACCCAGATTTAAATAGTATTATCTCAACATTATAGGAAAAGCTTGCAGATGAACAAATGGAATTGGCTGCCTTTGAGAAAGCCAATGGACCACTATCGGTTCATTTGGATGAGGTTCTCAAGAAAATGAATGTTGAGAGACAAGCTTATCATGGAAAATCATTCATTGGTAATCATGTACACACTTGCTGCAAGGTAACACAAATTCTACCCTTAGAGTAGGAATTTGTTGAGTCACAAAATTTCATTGAATTGTTGCATTTGTTTTTTTGGTAGGAAGACAACATCATTAAACTTAATGCAGTGCTGTGATGACAAAAACAGAGGAGCTGTGTCCTTCCCTCCTTTCTCAAGCAAGAGAAATTAGCATGAAATTTGAACAAGTTTTTAAGTTATTTGCTGCTTGCCACTTTGTCTATGACAGTGCAGACTATCTCAATGATGGCAAGATTGATAAGCTAGGTAACTGAAAGAAAAAACCTGACTTTCATGGAAAAACATGAATACAGCAATAAGATCATGTCTTAAGTCCACCTTTTCTTGTTTTCTTGTTGCAGAGGAAGACATCACAAATTTTATTCAGTTCCTTAGGGAAAAATTTCCAGACATGACAATCACACCAAAGCTGCATATGCTAGAAGAACATGTTTGCCCTTTTCTTCGACAATGGCACATGGGCCTTGGATTCTACGGTGAACAAGGGATTGAAGGAATACACTCTGAATTCAATACCCAGTCCCAGCATTTTGACCATGTGAAGAAAAAGGACACGAGATTGCGTCAAATCCTTGTCAACCATCACATTGCCACGAGTCCGGAACAAGCAGGGAAAGCTCCCAAACCTAAAGAAAGAATTTTAAAACGAAAAGCGAACGAGTAAAACTCTTTCCTTTTCAATAGCAATATATCGGTTCGATGACTAAGAACGAGTACTATGTGTGTAAATATAGTGTAATTTATTTGCTCAACTTCTAATTTAGACGAATAAAAGTGTTACTACAATCTTTGGAACCAAAACTAAACCTTTCCAGTCGTTTACAGACTGTTTCACTTGAAATTCAGTACCTCCGAGATTCAAAATGGAGTCGCATAACGGCCGATCTTAACATATTAAAAGCGCCTCGAATGGAGTCTTAAACAATTCGGATTAAAACACTTACCTCTGTCGGTTGTTCAGTAAGGTTTCAAGTCTTCTCTTTTGACTCTTGCTTTGCTGGAAAAAATTCGAGCCTTTTCCAAATTGAAATCAAAGTTTTCAGTTGACTTAATAGGGTGTGCTTGCTAGACTCCACCATAGCAACGTGTTTTCGTCGAACACAGGCAAAATTTGACCGATTTTACTCAAATTTTCGACGGCAAATGCCTCTTCCATGTGCAAGCATCCGCCATGCTAAATTTCACCCGCATACATTAGATACGCAGCAAGATTTCATTGGCTAAACTATATCTTAGCCCAAAGGGTTGCCATGGACGCTAGATTTATGCAAATGCATAATTTTTCTCTTGGGTAGTGTATAACTGAGGGTTATTTTTAATCTCTCCTATACCCACTTGGGTAGTGTATACCTGAGGGTTATTTTTAATCTCTCCTATACCCACTTGGGTAGTGTAAACCTGAGGATTATTTTTAATCTCTTCTATACCCTCTTGGGTAGTGTATACCTGAGGGTTATTTTTAATCTCTCCTATACCCTCTTGGGTAGTGTATACCTGAGGATTATTTTTGATCTCTTCTTTAGACTCTTGGGTAGTGTATACCTGAGGGTTATTTTTTAATCTCTCCTATACCCACTTGGGTAGTGTATACCTGAGGGGTATTTTTAATCTCTCCTATACCCTCTTGGGTAGTGTATACCTGAGGGTTATTTTTAATCTCTCCTATACCCACTTGGGTAGTGTATACCTGAGGGTTATTTTTAATCTCTCCTATACCCTCTTGGGTAGTGTATACCTGAGGGTTATTTTCAACCTCTTCTTTACTCTCCTTACACGGCAGTCGCGTTCGACGATATTCATTCGTGTGAATTTGTTCACAATGACCTAAAATGCAATAACGGTGTTTTAGATCAGCTTCTCCCCTGTTATAGTCAATTTTGGTAAGAGTGATGTCTTCGGAAAAGCTCAAAATGCCGTTCCAAAACCTTCGCACATAAAAGGCCTTTATAAGAATAGTTGCATTGCGTCGAAGCTTGTAGACCGAACGGGGAGACCATCAATTGAAAGCGATGTGTATTCTCTGGATTATCTCATCAACACAGTTTCTGGACTCTAAAAGTTCAAAACCATGACCTGTATAAAGAGGGGTTTGTCGGAGTTAGCCTTATGTAGGCCTAGGTCTTCTATCATGGAGGTGAAATCAGCTTTGCCGGTGCCGTTTTTTTGGGCTATTTTGGGTTTCTCCTTTTTGCATGTTTTAAATTGTTCCTGTTATATGTTTCTGTAACATTTGGTCAGGAATATTTGTGGACCTTGTGTTAACGATTTACCGTTGTCTTCTTTAAGACATGTATTGTTTCTATAGAGAAAATGGGGGTGGGGTCCAAATCCGCTGTGACACCGGCCTCCCGGTTTACCAAAGTTTGCACGCGTTGGTGGGCCTGAATATGTTTATAGTATTAAGTAGTGTTATGACGTGCATTAAATGTCGATTGTCGAGCTCTCTTTTCTTTCTCTGACTCACGCTTACTTTTCAATGAGAGTTCAACTTCAACGGCTCTTTGAACATTGCAGGAGTACGAATTTTGTGTGTGCCCTGGACGCCATGGTTAGAAAACTGATATCCTTGATCTGTTTTGACATTTTTCAATCAAAGCGATATCGGAATGCTTTAATTGGTGTGCCGGACGATAAAACCAACTCGGAAAAATGGTTGCTTTGGCAAACTACATGTTTGATTGAAAAATGTGGTAGGATCCAGTCTCGTGGCTATTTTAATTAACGCTTCCATGAACGACAGCGAATAAATGCAATATCGGCGGGGAAAAAAAAGGAGAAACTCACTGAATTGGCTCTGCTTTACGGCAAGGCGAAGTGAAGTCTCTTCAACAAATCGACTACACCATGTGATAGTTTCGCGGCAGTCTTCACATTCGATGACGTCATACCCCCCAGCAGATCGCTGTTCCATTTGCGGTTTGTATTTTTGGTGGTTTCGGCGAGATAGCCTTCATGTCACGCCACAAGCAAGCTCAACGATTCGCCCAAACATCGAAATATTTCGTGTAATGCTAAGCAATTTAATGTTCAGATAGAGCGTCTGATGTTCTGCAAAGTTATTCGACATAACGCTAAGCCATTTCACGCAACTCTACACCATTTGTGTGTACGCTGTACCATTCGACATTACGCTGAGCCATTTCACGCAGCGCTACACCATTTGTGTGTAGCTATACCATTCGACATCACGCTGAGCCATTTCACGCAACGCTACACTGTTTGTATGTACGCTGTACCATTCTACATTACGCTGAGCTATTTCACGCAACGCTACACCATTTGTGCGTACGCTGTGCTACTCGACATTACACTGTGCCATTTGACGCAACGCTAAACCGTTTGTGTACTGTATTTCAAATGAGTGCTAAGCTATTCGTAATTGAGCAAGTCCATTTCACAATTTCATGTTCCAACTCGACATGGGCAACTAGACCGTTTATCATTTGGCTAAACTATCCATGTTTAGGGTGTTCTGTTTCACGAAGGAAAACTAAACCGTCTAGAATTTGGCCATGCCATTCCTTTATTAGCTATTCTATCCTGCAGCTAATCCTTAAACCAGCTTTGTATATGCTGATCTATTTGAGATCCTTGTAATTTTGGTGGTGACGGCCGCCCATAGGAAAATGATTAGTATAGGTAATCACATGAGGCCAAGTACTATTAAGGATTAATTGCACGAGAGTTTTGGAAAATTTTGAAATGCTGCCTATTTGAGTGCAATTAATCCTTAATAGACGAGGTCTCATGGGATTAGTTTATCAATAAAGAAAATTTATACGAAGGAAAATCACGCGCGCAGTCTATTTTTATCTGGGAAGCAACGGATTAGCAATGCAACGTTTTATTAACTATTTCAATTAAGAAAAAAATGCCCTCTCTCTCAACCAATCAGCGCTCAGTAATTTTGCCCTTTATTGATAAGAGATAAAATCATCGGAAGTTGCGGTTTTTTCTATTTCATTCGAGGGGAGCTTTCTTAACTTCTTTGTAGCGATTATCGGATGTCCTGGAATGTTTAGCGAACACCTCATGCAACCAAGAGGCGTCAAACCTTGGCTTGAGTTACTTACGCAAATTTGCTGTCGGCACATTGAATGTGCAGCCAGCTCATTTGCATAAAAGTTTTTTCCGACGCAAAGCTCGTCACGTAAAAAAGAGAAAAAAAAAAGTCGAGTCTTATTAATTCTTCGATCGTACGTCTTGCACTCTCATCCGCACAAAAATTCTGCTAGTCTGAGTGTAGCATAAATTTGCAAACACTTACCCTTCAAAATTTATCCTCAAGGCATTGGGAAGTAGAATACGGGCATGATTACAACTGAGGTATGGATGAAAAAGAAGATCTGAAGAAAGTTTAGTTTGATTAGGTTTTGTTTTACTGTGTGGGGATTGTAATCACCTTTAATAAAACGAGCTTATCGTTAGGGAGTTGTCCCCGATTTTTTAAAAATTCTTTTTTGATCCCAATTTTTAGAAAATGTTATGGATGATGCCTCCGATGCGTAAAAATTGCAAACAGAATGAAATAAGCACGCTATATGCTACCTTAAAAAATTAAGAATCTCTCAAAATTTTGTATCCGATCTCGAAATATTCGATCGTCAATGTTTTGTGATAAGTATGGAAGTCTCACTGAAACTTGTCAAAAATTCCCCGAGTCTGCGATTTGTTAAGAAGGCCGGGGGTTTGGTGCCATTGTAGCTTAGAGTTATTATTGCACAATTCTCCAAAAAAGATATGAATTGATCGAGAAGATATGTTAAATAACACATGTAAAATACAATGAAAAGGAAATGAAGAGTAGAATTTAGAAAGAGCCTTATAAAAACCTTTATTGCTTTACATCTCAGTACCCAATTCCCTATTTGTAAAACGTCCTAATAACACAACGGTGATACGAGCATTGATCAAATTGAACTGTACACTAAATTTTATTCTATAGGAATTATTCGCTACCTATTCACATTGCAAAATGGATAGATAAATAGTCATGCACGCTCGTTTGTTTAAATTAGCTGATGTTTGTGTTTATGAAAAAGCTCAAGTTTCATATTCCCAAAGTTTTTGCTAGGAAAGGGAGGGCAAGGTTTTTACTCTATCCTTCCTGTCAAGTTCAAACGATATTCATCTCTGCAGTATATGAATTAGAACGAAGTTTGTCTCTGCAGTATATGAATTAGAACGAAGTTTGTCTCTGCAGTGTGGCTGTTCTATCTTTCCAGCTCTCAGGGCCAGCTTGAAAACAAAAACTGGATGTACTGAAGATGTCTGACTAGCCTGCCAGTCAGCAGGCTAATTTCAAATCGCGCTCGGCCGATTTGAAATTATTCGCCTAAATACTCCCTGGTTTGTACTCAACTCAATCTTGTTACCATCAATTTTAGCCGTTAATTGTTATTCTATCTCTTGTTCAATACATTTTTCTAATAATGGATAAAAAACTTCGAGGAGATTGATGCAAATGCTTTCGGAAGCTGACGTAACCTAAGCAACACTGTTGAAAACTTGATTGATTAATTGAAGTTCACCGAATGGTTAAGATTGAGCTGTATATACAAATCAGTGACGTAAAAAAAAATCATATAAAGCTAAGAATGAAAACCCAAGCCCTAGCAGGTATGATTTTATCGGTCAATCTCTGTGGCAACCCACGGACAATGTCAAGATATTTAACCAAATCACGTTAAGCGCACGGGGTTCCTACGATTACCGTCTCAAAACTTGCCAGAACGTCATCGCACGTGTTCTAGAAGTTTAAGAAAAGTACCTTATGCCATTGCAATTGTTAGTATATACTAAAACAGAGGATAGCGATAAAGGCACGCTCTGATTGGCTACTCAAAATCCAAATATCCCTTCCTCTTCACCTCCGAGCAATAGCGCAGGATTTGCGCCCGAAAATATTGTAATCGTCGCACAAATAAATGAGTTCAAATCTTCTTTTTGTGCCATTTTATCTCACTGTTTTAGTATATTATGTCAGTGGCTTGCGGTGGATTTTAACTTCACCGCTTCGCAACTAAGTAATATCCATTTCGACTTCGGTGAATAGTTGTTAATAATCAAAAGTGTCTGGAATCAAAGTAAAATTGGCAGACTTTTTTTTTTTTTTACTCTTGTACAAAATTATCAGAAGCCAGATACTATAAAATATTTACTGCTGTCTACTATTTTGTTTTTTAGTCGTAAAAAAATTACTTCATAGAAAGAAATTAGAGTTAATTGTTCATGTTAAGAGAGAATTGCCATATTTGGGAATACTTGTCGATGTCACAGTTATCTACGGTCACGTGTTGACCACTCTTGACGTCTTTGCTGTCCAGGCACAAGCCAGACTGTCTGTGGCGCAGAGTGCGTTTAGGGGTGTGTTCCCACATCTAATTGACAAAATAATCACGTCATTTTGCAATAAAGTTGATAACTTTTCTTTTGAAGTTCAATGGCGCGAGCATGCCTTTCATTCTCAGTGTGCGCACTGATTGCGAGCGTTTACACATTTAAGTGTAGCAGATGGAATTCTCTTTGAACAACATTTAAACTAACACGTCAACGACGTCATAAACCAGTGGTTCCAAGAAGCGATAGCTGCTCTCTACGCCCCGAGAAACTCCTAGTTAAGCATCTTCGGCGATCTTCAATCTTTCCGCGTGGTGTATATCTCGATGAACGCGCGCTGACGAATGCATCAATAGTTCATTTTAGGTCTCGTGTAGTTCACAGCGCATCCTAGCGGCACATAATTAAACGCGTACCTAGCATAAGAATATCAACAAATTGACGGTGTTTCTTTGGGGCTGAGGCTCGCCAGTGAAATAATTCCTTTTTATCTTGTGAAGAAAACACTGTGCCGACGGTTATTACCCTTATCCAACTTGAGTAGAACGCGTAACTATATGCAGGTGGCAAATGCAGCGGAAACTTTGGCTCAGTTATTTCAATTCCCAGAGCTTATGTGGTCTGGGACTCGCATTCTTCACCTCCAACTCAGTGGTTGGGCTGACTGTTCTCAGTTTGTCTTCACGGGAAGATCTACATGAAATCATTGTGGGGATTACTAACCTGTTCGTTGTCAGTATCTCGACAGCCTTCTATTACAACTGGCCTTCCAGGCGAAGAGTCTTTGAGCGTCAAACACATGTCGTGGTGACGTACTAAACTTGTTTTTGTGAGAGCCCACTCCTAGAGCACGAAAAAAAAAAAAACAACAACAACAACAAAAAACAAAAAATAAATAAATAAAAGAATCGAATGGACAAGAAGCTCTTGGCTATTTCATTATCCTCGAGTGAATCGTTGCAGGCAAGCGACGTTCCGCATCATTTTATCAAATGTGTTTGTGTTCGTCCTGCCATTTAATAACGCAATACCTGATTTCCTGCCTGTCCGTGACAATCGAATAGGCCGATAGAGCCACCGGCCTGGCTACCAAGTGTATCCAGACATTTCTTGCCTTGCTTCAACTCCCCGAAGGACACATCCTTTGAATCAGGGACTCTACGATCAAGAACAGAAATGGAGAGTTTGATAGTTGAGAGTCGAAATTTATTCGGGATTTATTAGTGGTGCTCTGGCTTAGAGAACTCTCCGAAAAGTGGATGTAGATGACGTCGCCCCATTGCACGGTCGCACCAAGTTCCGTGGCTCCCAAGTAAAGTTCCGTTAGCCTGAGGTATGGTTGCGTCACTCCCAACTAAAAGCTGCGTCGCCCTCATTACATGACTGTAAAAGACTTTGGGAAATTTCTGAGCCACGATTTTCTATTTTCAAGGTGCCTTTTTTCGCTAGATGTTTTTGCTTACATAAGTTGTATTATGCAGGGTATCCTAAATAGTGGGTGTTTAATAGTGTCATGGAAACTATAGTCAGTTAGCTATTGCACAAAGGCGTGAGCATTGTTAATTCGTAATCACATAATCAGAGACACCAAAAAGCTAGCAAGGTTGTTAGTAAAGAAAGCGAACGTACTGAAGATCTGGATAAACAGTCTCCAAATACCACTTAAATGGCTTGCATTTTAGACGTTCCCGCAGCTCTTTTCTTGATTTCACACTACAACCAAAGAAAAGAATCAATCATACCAAAACATCACACCAAGCAATAAAAAAAAGAAAAACAGAAAACAAACAAACAAAACAAAAGAAAACAAACATACAAAAAAATAAATAAATACAAATTCGACTTTGGGGATGACTTACGCTCAGGTATTTGAAATGTCAGTCACCACTACCGACAGCATTATTTTCAGGACTACCCTCATCCGGACGATCAGACCACACGATCATTTACGGTAACACATAAACCAACAAAAATAGCTTCTACATGGAAAATATAGGCTTTCCTCTTTTAAATCAAGGATAATATTTTTCTCTAACTGCCACGTGGAGCACCTTCACCGGTTTGTTCAAATCGAATGCATTTCAGTCTCCCGTCCCAATACGCACGTTTTTTCTATCTCATCCATTCAGAGACGAGCATTTAATTTCTATAAAATAACTGAGACACTACGAGGATCCTGATTGGTCAAAAACCTCTCGTTTATCGTACCAGTAAAACCCTTCGTTGTTTTACAAAGCAATAGACCGCGCTCGAAAAGTTTGTTAATCACTCGTGATTTACAAACATTACTCGTGTTCTCCCATCAACCCGCGTGGGTTGTTACACCTCTGAACTGATCAACTGATGTCCTGCTCTTCTGTTCAAAATTTCATTACCTTCCATAATTGGCACTCCGCGCCATGGGACGTGCAGCATAATAGAATCTCTTGTACTCGTCCATCCAAACCTCAGCCGTTCGGCGGGTATTCCTACATAGACATGAATAGCCTACGTGAAAAACTTTCACTGAAAGATCCCGATTGTCAATGAAATTCTCCTTGTCAATACCATAGCAAATGTAAAGAGGAAAGTGTGGAGAATATGAATATTAATCTTAGGGGGTAAAGGGTTAAAAATCCCTTTTGGATTACACAGAAACTTTCAAGATAGAAACTTTAAAAGGCAAGAGTGTGACGTATCGTGCCACCATAACCTACTTCATGTAAGTGTTGGCATTTCCATCAGGAAATGAATAGGGATGTCTTTTTCTAAACACGTGACCAACTCTTGAACAAGGAATGATTTCCATGCTTCCTCCACATTGCCATGTCCTGAAGGAGATTTCTGTCAGAAACGAAAAAAAAAAAACTATCTCATTATTGCTATCACAGACCTGAAAGATTCTAAAGCCGATGGACAGGAAGATACATTTACTTTTATTTTCCCCACTTTTCCCCTTTTATTTAAAATACATCTACACTTTTAGTTAACAGTTGACCCACTTACCAAAGTTTTCTCCGCCCCAGATGTCCATCATGACGTCATACTGCCCTAATTTCTCGAACCAGGCTTTCTCCACCACAAATAAGCCACCAGCTATCATCGGTGTTCTGAAGACAACACAATAATTAACAATCATCCACCGAAGTGGAGGTGAATAGGGGTAGATATCTGCCGACACTGAGGTGAATAATTGTTTCAGTATACACCGCGGAGAGACAAAAAGAAAAGAAAAAAAATAGTTTACTTATTTAACTAAACCGAAAAATAGTCGGAAATTTTGGTCGTGATTTTGTCTCATCGGTTGCTACTTCCGAACCAGCCAATCAGCGCGCACGAAAAGCACTATTCATCTGTGTGGAATATACTAATTAACAAAAATATAATTGATACCGGCGAAATGTCACGCTAGCTAGCATCCCATCCAGGGGGAGTAAAAATAATCCATATCATTTGATGTCACAGAAAACGAGGTAACTGTGGCAGTTACACAAGAAAGTTTTATATGAAGTCTCCAGAAGAGAAGGCCTTTAAAATGTCACGCACCACTACTCCGCTCTCTCTGCTTATTTCGAAGTGAGCGTTACGTGACGCTCTGTAAAGGAAAGTGTCTTATATGCAGATACGTTTATCATCACATGTAACGCAACAAAATTGCACAACCAAAGGTCACGCAGACTGCATACAGCAAACAAACGCCATGTACATTATGGCTTGGATTACATGTGCTGTTATGTACCTAATTGGTGCCACTGGATTTTTTTTTCTCGCTTGTTTCTCTTTCGTTGTTAAGCTGTCCCACTTAAAATGTAGACTCCAATCAAATCCTGAAAAAAAAAAGTCATAAATGAACTACTGAGTTAATAAATTTAGAAGGAATGGCACCAAATTGTAAGTATACGACAAGTATGTAAAATGCATCATTTGTTTCAAAAATCAGATTGAATACACACTCTAAACAACTTGCGATCAATCGCTGTCACGTAATGGCATACTACACCATTTATCTTCATGTTATGTCAAATCTCGTTTCTCAGTTCACGTTATATCACCTCTAATCCCTTTCCATCCAACCATAACACCTCACATCGCACCAAAAATACGTCACGTCACGTAACGTCCACTTAATTCACGTCACGTCACATCACACACTCTATATCTGAAGTCACATCACGTTATAGTATATAATTATATGTATTTTAAGCCGATGAAACCTCACCTCCCTTAATGTCTGCTGAAGCTCCAAGGTAATTAAAATCATCCATGTTGATTACGTCAATAATTGGACTAACTACAACAGTTCTATCCTGAAAAAGGGAGAGGATAGAAAAAAAAAGTGAAGCTAACGAGTAGTGATAAAGACACTCACACCAAATCCGCGTGACTGAAGAAAAAGTAATCAATATTGCAATAATATAATAATAATCACAAACACTCTTTAATGATTTATACTGTATCATTATTCTACCCCAAGCTCAAGCCAGTGAAAAAAAGAGAAAAAAACGCGCCCAAAAAAATTGGCGGTAGCCGTTTCCGTTAAAACCAGCATTTTATTTCACACTTCTTTTTCCTTTTCATCGCTGACTGAGTGTTTAGCCGACGCTATGAATAAAAGAGGCTTACATATCAAAGGAGTGAAAATGTCTTTCAGCTTTGACCAAGATTATAGCAGCAACACTAATTATCCTTTTTGTCTTCCCAGCGTTTCCTGACTGCTCATTCAGGTTGTATTAGAGTCAAGAGGATTTAACCCTTTCACTGAGAATTGCACCCAAGGCGTACGTGGAAGAGCATCTCCAAAGCCAGTGGAACGTATCAAGTATAAGGGTCAAGGAGCAGGGCGGGGTCAGGAGGCACCGATATATTCTCAGCAAAAGATATATTCTTACCTCTACAATTCTCTGTAATAGAGGCTCTAACCAGCCAACATTACACTCACAGTGGCTGTCAAGAAATGTTAATATAGTGCTGGTGGCAGCATTTGCTCCTTTAACACGAGATCGTATTAACCCTGGAAAAAAATGTCAGAGCCTCATTCAAGTAAGTAAACAAAGACGCCCTGGGGTTTTCTTTTAGTGAATAAAGAAACAGCATCTTATAATTCCTGAAGAGAATTGACCACAACACTCAAGCTGACTTGCTCTTTATTGTGATCCGCACGTTAAGTTAAATACTCCCCACTTTCCAAATCACCCATCTTTTATAACAAGGAATGGCTAATTTAGTTTCAAATTCACAACTTTTAGAGTATGATTTAATTGAGTTGAATTTTTGATTTTATACTTTTTCCAGTGTGAAACATCAAATCCAATTGATCAAACATGACTTGGCCTTGCCAATTTTCTCTCTGAAAACAGTAGACTTGACTCAGTCCAAAAGGTGTACATGTGTTAAATAGAACTGGATGGGCTTTGCACTTTATGTATAGGTTAAAATCAAAAATTCAGTGTACCTTCTCTTTTGTCATTTCTAAGAACTTTGACCTTTGGAAGCCCTAACAAGAGCTGACCATCATCAACTGTAAGCCAAAAAAGCAAATAAAATTTATTAGTGATGAAAATAAAATATATGACAGCCACTTTAGTGTAATACTACTGGCATATGATCCTGCATGATAACAATTTTAGACACTATTTAAAGTTGTAACCAAAACAAATTTCTTTACATTGCTTCTACAGTGCATGTCAGCTTTTGTAGTCAGGGAACTTTTATAATAATTATAGTCCACTTACCATTGTCACTGAAGTCATCAACTAATATTATTTCTGCGATGAGGCTTGGTGGACTCTTATTTAATATACTGAAACGAAATGGAAAAATAAATGAAATAACTAAATTCTAATAAATCCTATCAAGAAATTTCCCCATATTCTTGATCTATGTTTAGCTCAGTTAAGACCTCAATGCTAAATGGACTGTCTGCTCATTCTGGTTTCCAGTCCTGCTTTCCAAACATTGGCTATTTTTTTTCCAGCTGGACTGCCAGTTTCAGCTCCTCATCTACCCTTGTAAACCGCCTACTGGTTTACCTCTACCAGTTGGGGTTTGTTATTACTTTTTATTATTAATCTAAATTGTGCTTTTTACAAGGATTTCCAGCCCTGAGAATAGCCATAATTGCACAGGTGTAAAATTAAGGTATTTTTTTTAAGTGTGTTTGATATCACCTATAAGCTGCTGCCTTTTGCACCACTCAGTCAGGTTGACAAATGAATGACAAAGCATTAATAATTCTCAGTCTAAGGTAGATCGTTGAATATTTTAAGTCAGTTAAGGCTAATGGTGTTTATATGATAAACAAAATAATAGTTGCTTGTACAGTATAGATATAGAATTTCTTTTTGTGAGTTCCACTCGTGACACCAATGTATCTCACTTGCTTGCTGTGCTGACACTCATGCAATATCTACTCGAACACTCAAGGAGAAATTCCATATCTCTGTGTGGCCATGCAACTGTATTTTTCTCTATTTTTTGTATGAAGCAGCATCATTTGTGCTTTATCAGAAACCCTGTTAGGGTTCTACACTGAAAATGGGGCAAGTATGTGTAGGGTGGCAAAAAACTGAGGGGTCATACAAGACAGGAAAGAGAAAGATTGGTCTTCATTCCTTAAATGCTTATTGACTGAGTTAGGTCAGGGCTGAAAGAAAAATACTTGGCTTGCAGTTGTGATCTATATGTACAAACTTCACTGCACTTGGTCTGCACATGACCTCTAGCCAAATAATTTCCCATGAGACACACTCACCCAGTCATAATACAAAACATGTGTTGTGTTTTTACATGTGCACTGTAGTTCTCTTGGTGGTGTTCTCAGCTGGAATAGCTTGGTGTACCTCCCTTATAGACACACCTTGTAATACATATATGTATGTGTTACTGTAATTTGTTTTATTTATGATTAAAAAACCTCACCTTTTAACAGTTCTAAGAAGGGTTGATCTTCCCTCATTGTGAAATGTTATTATAACAGTTGTTGCAGGTAGTTCTTTAGAATATTCTTTATATCTACATCTGAAATGAAAACAAAATTAAAAGCAAATTAGAAATGAATTGTACATGTAAATTATAATATGGAATAGTGATAATTAGTAAAAATGATTTGGCTCCACTACTTTTAACACCATATGCACAGAGTCAAAAATGTCAGTAGCTTTCACATTTTATACAGTCACGTACAGTGTATGTACATTGTACCTGTAATTCACTGCTTTAACCATTTAACCCCCAGATCAAATTTTTATTTCTCCTTTCTGTCAACCATACAATTCTCATCATGTTATTTTAGAGAATTTAAGTATTGAATCAACTAATTATCCCCAAATTGAAATTTTTCTCAATTCTCACCATTTATCTGTTTGATATTATAATATTGTAAGGAGAAATTCTGTCTTCATCACTCATGGGAGTTCAAGGGACAATGATCAGATAAGAAAATTTTGGTGAGTGGAAAAGAACTGTATAGAGAAAATCAATCCACTGACTAACAAGACCTAGAACTACAAATCATAATAAACTGTATATACATGTTTGTGCAGTCACTTCCACTGCTTGGTGTAAACTTAAGGTCTAAATAAATTAAGCCTCAAATGATTCACCAATCATTATTCATATAGTTCAGTCACATTAAGTCTAACTGCCAAGTTTGCATGTGTAGAGTAAAAATATCAGTTATATTACAAAGTTAGATATAATGCTGAAAATCCAAAACTAATGAAATGATAAGGGAGGCCAGCCCGATTCTCAAAATTATACCAGAGATCGAGTCTATTTTTAACAGAGGGATTTGACACCAAAAATATCACTCCCTGCATTATCACAGATTCAACTGAAACAACTATCATTACAACATTTACATGTAACCAAGTTTTTGACCAATCAAAATGCTACTTCAGAGTGGAATAGGAAGAGTTGTTTCACAAGAGTCCGTGGAATTTTTTAGGATAAATTTGCATAGGAGAGAAAATCACAGTTTTGTTAAAACCAGGTTCAAAATGTTCCAGCTGAAAGCTGCCAAAATTGAAAAGGACTTGTTCAACCTTTCTGGCTAAATGACATGAAAACTGATTCTGAGAAAAAAATTTTCCTGGTAAAAGGCAATAAGTCCTTACTTAGGTCATTAGTCACTTACTGTGAATGTCTAGTATCTGGAACTGTTCTATCTCCCCCAATAGCATCACTTGCAGCTTGATTAAATTGATTCCTATCATATTTATCTTCTCCATCCTTCAGTGCTCCACCTTTAAGATAAGCCTCTTCATCAAAGGCTGGTCTTTCCACTCCTACTTCTTTGTGAATATACTGTGGATTACATATTTAATATGAAAAAGGAAAAAAAAAACATTTATTACAGTTGATTTCACAGGAAAAGAGTCAGAAGTCATGATCAAAACTTAGGAATTTTAAGTTTATCTTTCACCCCATTTACTCCCACAAGTTAACTACTAGTAAGGAAATTTGTGATTGTGACTTTGGGATACTAAACTTCTATTGCCCCAGAGGCATGTTGAAGTGCCCATTCTCCTACAAAAAATGGCAAATTCTGCATCCTCGACTCAATGTATATAATTGATAGTTCTGTTAGTAGTAAATTTGATTGTAATATCATTCTGTAAGACTATATATTTTGTAACTTTGGCTTTTTTTTTTTTTTCAGTAGTTCTTATTTATCCAGATAGTTTATTTAGTTACTTTACAATTATTATATTATCTGTTATGACTGCTGTAACCTTTCCTCTCCGCCTGCCTCGTCTAGCTTTTGCTATTTGCGGGTGGAGATGGCAAAATGATTTGCATGAAATAAAGTATAGTGTGTGTGAGCTAAAAGAAGAGGCATTCCTGAAATTGTTACTGACAATGATTATATAATAAATCACTCCTTTTGCTGCAAAAGTTAGATGGTTTGGTTTTACATTGGACAGGTGTTTATATAATAAATACAACATTACATGGTCACTTGGAGATACAAAATTTCTCTTCTAATGTTGAAAAAACACTTCACTCTTTCCCTGCTCTCACTTGTGAAATCTTTGTCAGCACTCAAAGAAAAATTTTGTGTTTCTGCATGGCCATGAAATATCCTCTATTTAATTTTGAGGAAGTCTTGACACCTCCCAGAATATTATTGAACTGATGCATTGAGAGGAAGTTTCTTTAAGTAGCCAGGTTAATCCAGAAAAGGTCATCAACATCATATTGACAGATGAAGATAAAGAAAAACAATTATGCATTAAATGGTTTCCTGTTTCATTTGTTTTATAATTCCTAATTTACTGTATGTACATGTATATCATATGCTTTTTAAGTATCAACCTTTGGAAGTCACAAATTGGACACCCTTTGCCATTTCTGGAAATTTTAGAACTTTTTGAGAAAATCCAAGTAAAATGAAGTGAAATGAAGTGAAAAAATCTCAATAAATAGCACTGTTCACATATACAGTAAAATATCAGAAAGTATATCATTGTGAATCAGTTAAACTCTGTACATAAGCTGTCTTATACATGCAGGTGCAAAATTACTCTTGAACTACAGTATGTCTGACAATTACAAAAAAATTTAATGAGAATCTTGAAAATAGTAACAACAATAATGTTAATGACAAGGATAATAAAACCAATGGTGATGAAGATGACAATAATGATGATTACGTTAGTAATGACCTACCAAGAATCTAGGATGCAATTTTCATTGGAACTGTCATAATAAGCAAATTAGGCCACTTTCTATTGCTCTACTGGCATAATAACCCGTGCAGGATGTTGTGACTCAGAACACAAGAAAAGTTGGTAAATGACAAGATGGAAACAAGTGTTTTAAAAACTTTTCTTGTGTTCTCCTAACATCCTGTATAGGTAATTATGCTGTAAAGCAACAGAGTGTGCAGTCTATCACTTTCATAAAATAACCAGAGGTTTACTGATGCAGTAAATGATAGGTTTTTGATCTATTACAATCTGGATATACATACAGTATTTTCATTGCTTAGGATATGTGTTGTTACAGGGATATTTCTATTTAATTGTGGGTAGATCTGAAACAAAAGTTGTTTTTAGTAGGAAATGAGTGGTAATTTTCTTCTTGGCATTAAATTGAATAGTTAGAATGATTCACCTCAAATTTCATCGGGGATTTCAGTAGCAGTTTTATTCTACAGTCTGAATCTATTACAATAAATTGTTGCATTTTATCTTAATCTTTCCAAATTGGAGTCATATGCAAACATTATTTTATCAGTCGGTGGGAGAGGACTTTGCCTGAAGGCACCAGTCAGAGTGTAATTTAATTTTCACTGTGAGCATCTGATGGTACGAATTCGTTTTGTGAGGTTTCTCAGAAATTTTCCAAAATTTTGTTCGCCATCATTATACTTTGCAAATATAATTTATCCCATTTCAAGTTCAATCGACGATTCGTACAAATAAAATCTGTCTTCAGAAATAGAAAAAAATTGTAGGTTTCTAGAGAGGAATGAAGTATCTTAAATAAAAACAGTCAATAATTTATAGAATCCTAACAGCTTTCCCACTGAGATGGGAAAATGGAAATGATAAAATTCAATGGAAATCTTTGTCATTTAAGAAGATCTCCTCGGTTACTCATTGTTCAATTGATAATGATTCTCATTGGCTAATAATACCTCCAAAGAGAGCTATCACCTCTTCCTGTTATCAAAACCATTTCAAGGGGCAATGCACTTCCATGAATTGGTTAAAGAACTTTATCTTATAGTAGCACAAACATTTTAAAATACACAACCTCGCACAAACCGAGGAACAATACGAATTCTTACAGTACCTTTGGCGGCTCGCTCCGTAATAACCCCGAATCCGATGTGAAATACAGTATTCCTAAAAGCCATATCACTATCAAAGCAACGGCAAAAACTCTCCTTTTTCTGATAATCATGATAAAATCGGAGCAAAATTGTGTTCTGTATGCTATTTACATTGTATTAAGACATGCATGTTGGCAGAATTAGCTTAGTAACCACGTAGGGCAAAGTCACGCAACTTGAGCGGTTACTTTGACTGCTGTTTGGATAGAGACGGCGCTGAGACTGGATCGCAACGCGTGCAAAGTGCATGGCCTAAACCTTAAGAAAGTCGATTTTTGTGTAAATGCTGTGATTCAGAGTCATTCATTAAGCTTGTAACGTGTAAGAATAAGAGCACAAAAAGCTTACTCGTCTGTTTTTCTCGTTTGGTCTCACCATGGATCAAAATACGAACCATGGCTCGCATGCTGCCGAATCTTTATTTAATTTTGAGGCACTTGATTAGTGCATACTCGTTGAAGGCCCGAAGAAATAAGCGATTCACAGCATTATTGTGCTGAATTTCGAAGGAACATATAAATAAAACGGGACTCAAAAGTGATCCACGAGAAACTTATCATGATTCAGTATTCTTGTAAATTTAAGTAGTGAAAAGAGTGTTCTTAGAATTTCTACATTGAGTTTGAAACAGAAGAGTTTGTGGTAAACGTAATTTACAACAATTTTTTTGTTTTTTGATAAACAGTCAATGTATAATTAAGTGTTGGGAGCCCAATCATTTTACCACGCTTTGGGATTGGTCCAGAAAACGCACGCTCAGCGCGCTCAGAACTGCCACCCGTGGCTGCTTTGTCGCGCCTCAGATAACTTGTGTGTTATTGATGTGTTCAGAAGTGGCGGTAACACAGGTTATTGAATGAGAACAGCAGCCTGCCTGCTTCATTTTTGCTTCGGTATATCTAAGTCTTAAACGTTTGAAAACCTAAAACGTTTAAAAATTCTCCTAGCGCCACTTCTTCTCGTAATCGAAATGAATAGACAGCTAGATAGTGAAACATTTTTATGTCATAAGGGTCTCCCTATCAGAATTAACAAAGTGAAAACTGTTATCTGCTAAGACCCTACATCTAATGATACAAGTATCTACGAATAACTAAAAAAACATAACACAAAAAGCCACTGGAGAAAAACAGAAAACTTTTGAAATACTGAAGGCGAGAAGACGCACAGTTTTCTAAAGGTGTATGGTTTTCATTTTTGCTTGCTAGTTTTTTTCAGAAAAACGAAGCAGAATTCCCACCATTTTCCCTGAGAAATCAATGACCTCAACTGTTTGCAAAAGTTGCTGGGAACTTCCAACACCTTTAAAAATGATCCTGAAAGAGTAACTGTGACTAGAACATTTTTTAACTTTCGGCTTGGTAATAACGATTCATTTCTTACGGTATTGGAAATTTTTTCTAAACATTATATTTTCCAAAGAAATAAACGATTCCATTAAGAATTGCACCCTGCTGCAATAAAGCTTTGCCAAAGCTCATACTTCTTAAATATTTCGAAGACTATTAATGTTTATTAACGGTCCTTACTGCTCAAAAAGGAGTTCAATCTTCATTTCATTTGAGTGCCTCGGTTTTCTTCTTCTTTTTGTTATAATTATACGGAATCTATTGAACTGACCTGAACGTATTAAAATTCAACCAGAATTAGTATTTTGTTTTCGAACCTGTTTATTAAGTTTACTTACATCTCGTACACCCTTTTAAAAGGCTGCTGTTTCATTGGATAGTTTGGTTTTATCAGCTGAGTTGATAAGGTAATTTACCACCGTAAAGAGTTTCTAAGCTGACGATTCGAGCGTAAGCCCTTCGTCATTCACTCTTACGAATGGTTAACGCTTGAAAAATCAGCTGAGAAATTCTTCACGGTCGGTCAATTGACTTCAAGTCAAATTACTGAAATATGATTGGTGAAAAAAAACACATTTTCTTCTGATACCCTCCACCGACGCAGCACCACAGTTTCTGTAGGAACTTACCCCCTTTAGTCAGGTGTTGCATTAGAGGACCATTGGTCAAACAAATAGTTGAATGATGGCTCATGTTTATTTTAGAATCAAAATGTGCAAGCTAAAATCAGCGTGGATGATTTGGAATCAGGAATCGCTTTAAATTATATACGCGTGAGAGAACTTATTTAATTGCAACCATTTATATATTAGCTTCTGGTATAGTTTTTGTGCGAAAGGAAATGACAAACTTAATGGCTAAACTTTTTCTCAGATAATTTAATTGAAAAGCTAGGGAATTGGTTTTCAGTTTTTGACTCTTTTGATCCAATACTAGTCTTACGCTACCTCTTTCTGGAATTTGTAGAATTACCAGCTGTTTTAATACCATGATCAGCTGTCTTTTGCAACTTATACGGAAACCACGATAAGGCAATGGTTTTAAAAAATGGAGTTACCTTTACCGACGAAATGGGATTAAGGTAAGGGGAAGGGGTGGGGGTTAAACTCTTCGATAGTGAGCCGATCTCGAAGTGAAGGAAAAAAAAGCGTCGTTTACAGTGTAGCACCTAGATTCGAAATTAGTGAGATATAATGTCAGGACTCCCATGTCTAAAGTTCTCTTGGTCTTTAGGCCTTCTTCTGCCTCAGCAAATGTTTTACTATAATGTCAGAGAAAGTGAATTCCTAAAGGCCACTGCAAAATGAAATTAAAGAAAACGATGAAAATAAAGCCGCTTACCAAATGCTGAGGATACGGGGGAGGGAGTCGAAGGGGGGCGAGATTACACATTTCACACTGAAATCATACTAGTATACAAATAATAGTAAGTATGATTATCCCTAATACACCCTAACACTACCAGGTCATCGACAGCATACAACTATTCAGTTCATTGGACGGGGTAGAACATTATGAAGGAGGACCGACTTCACATTGAAGGAAAAGAGTGTCATCCACTACATAGTGCCCTCTTTCGAGTTTCTCGTGAGAAATAAACTTAGGTATCCCATATCCACGTATCCTTTTTTCGTCAGGCCTTCCAAATACTTGTAGATCATCGGTTGTAGTTACCACCATGGAATGGTTTTCACGTTCCTCTAGATTTTCTTGTTGATCAAGAAGTGTGAATTTCACTTTCCTTTTGAAAGGCCAGGGTAATAAGGCGTCATATTCACCCTTCTGTATAACACAGAAAACTGATAAAAAAGTACCCCGAGCATGGCCAGAGCCGTTAGGATAGATATTTATTTCAAACTTATAGCCATAATTTTCTGTGTAGAACGGAGCACAGGTTTGCCTTTCGTTCACACCGCCCTTGGCCTCTCTCATAAGTTTACTGAAGTTGTCAATCTTCCAAATAAACATCAAAGGATAATTAGGGGATTCGCTTTTCACCATCACTGTTTTCTCTTTCACTTCATTCTTGAGTGTCACGAGTTGCTTATGTAAGCTCTTCATTGTTTCTTCTGTTTCACCTATCTTAACACAAGCCAAATCAAGATGGATTTTCGTAGCAGATTGAAGGTGATTGTCTACTTCCAGACGATGAACCTAAAAGAAAATTTGTTTTTCAAATGTAATAGACTTAAAGCTTAGAAAAAATAATCATCGCACGTTAAATACAACTTTGTCAAACCAAACAAGCAAAGGAAAGGTGATGAAATTCCAATAAATACTGACTCCTTATTCTTTACCCTAACTTTCATCACTCAACATAAACATAATATCAAGAGAGAATATTATCCTTTCTAGATAATCCATGATGGTAAATGAACTGAGTGGAGCAATTTGTATAGGTAATCAAATAATTTCGAGTACAATTTGGGTGGGTGGGGGGGGGGGGGAGGTTGAAGGATTTTGTCAAGAGGAGTAGCAGTAGAGAGCAGTAAACCTATTGTCATTTATATTTCTATTTTCTTATCTTCTATTTTCCTATCAAGTTCTAATTGTGGTGGAAACAGTACAAAATTAAAAAAAAGTCCGTCATGTTAGAAAGAAGTCTGGCCCCCCCAGCGTTATTTGCATATGTATCCTATAATATTAACATCATCTTGTAGGAGACGTAACAGGTTATTTTTTTAAAGTAACAACTTTTGAAAATATCGTAACGCGGTGGTGGAGAGGGGGGGAGGAGGGGGATTCCAGCCCCACCTCCCCCCACCACGGGGTATGAGTTTGCTTGTACGTCCGAGTCATTGTTGGAAATTTCAATCTCAGGGTTATCGAGGAGGTTCAAGCAGGTTCGATAGGGAGAGATCTGGGTGCGAACATAGCGCGACCTATAGAAGTGTCAACATACAAAACAAACATGGCGACTCGATATAATCGCACGATTGTTATCTGAAAAGGTGTGTTAAAAACAGTTTAACACAATACAATTTTTATGTAATGGAGTATGGGGTTTCCAGCAATTGCACCCGTAATATTCTGAAAAGAAGTCAACCGAAAAGAAAACACCGTAAGAGAGATTGCCGAGAGGCGACAGATTCCAAAGTCTACGCATGCTGAGATATCGATCTTGGCGAAGTTCTATTCCGTTACGTGATGTTTTGCGACAAAGAAAATAGGGACCTTGGAGTAAGATTTATTGCGCTTCCTTCGGTGGAATCTCCTGATATTTGCTGGACAGTTAAACATATTTGCGCCCTTCTTAGTGCCTGTTGATAAAAAATATCACAAGACTGAATTTGAGATTGAGGAAGAAAACACTAAATTGCAAATAGCGAGGAAACTGCCTTTGTAAACCCTATTTTTTCGGCTTTGAAATGATCGGCGTGACAAATTTCACAAACCGTGAAAGCCCTGAGAGATTTCGCTAAAACAAATCGAAGAAAATCAAATGTAAAGCCAAATTATCGCTGGCGAGCTCCCTCCTTCGTGGAGCCTTAGCTTATTAACGAAAATAATTTCGGTAACATTTAATACAGCAAATGATTGTGAGATCCTTTCTCATTGCCCTTTTGATGGCTTTTAGTAACCAAGAAAAGCGAAAACATAAAAATTTTCTAGAAAAAAATTACGCTTGTGCACACGCCATCATGAGCAAAAACCTTATGCAGCCTCCTTAACTCGACTGGTCGATGGCTTGTGTCTTCTCCGGACACTGTAAACAACCTGATCGTCAGAAAGCCTTTCTCCGATCATAACATTTTTACATTTTCTATTCAGACCTCCCCATATGAATGCCGCAAGACCAACAAGTTAACTTATCTTAATTCCAAAGCAGCCTGCTCTTCTCTACGTGAGTTACTGCAGTATATATCTTGGCATTGTGCATTCTAGAAGATGACATCGATATCGATAGCAACTGGACATGGTCTGACTTATCATTCAAAGCAATAGAGGAGGTGTATCCCGATCAGCTATCCGAGTATGGACCTATAAATAGGATCTGCACTTCAATCTCGAAACATGCCGTGTAATGCGAATAACGCATAGACAGGACAAATCATTATCAACTAACAAGCTGAGTTCACGTCTTAAAACCACTAACAATGCTAAAGGCCAAGGCGTTGTAACCGCTTCCGACCAGTCGTGGAGCAAACATGTTTTAACATACGGTAGTCAACAAAGCCAATTAAAGCGTTGGGTTTAATTCATAGAACAGTGGGCACTTGAAGAGGCTGAACTGGCCTTCACTGGAATCGTGCAGACTGTACCTCTCTCTTTAAGAATGCCAAAAAATAGTATTAAGCTTAAATAACCTTAAAATTCAGGATTTTTTCGAACTAACTCCGTTCAAATCTATTAGAACAAATCATTCTTTTAAAACAACCCTTAAAAGTAAAGTGTAACGTATTCTTTCGCCGTCCGTACGGCACAAGAATGGAACATTATATTTTGCCACGAACTATAGTCGAAAATGGTAACTTTAAAAAGTTTATAAATGGACCAAAGGCTCTTTTCCGCTCAGTATCTTAGCTGATAATGAATTTTTTACTGCACGTAGATAAATATATACATATATTTTTAATTCTGATCCCTTTCTTTTTATAAAGGTGAAAGGTCGTAGGGCCAACCGCTGTTTCATCCTTTTCAAGCTGTATTTCATTTTTCTTTTATCATTGTATCGTGGAATTAAACATTATGTAATGTTATGTTGTGAGGGTTACTCAATTCACCATTTCGTCGGTAGATTTCACGTATAGTGTCACGTGACTTTTGATGTAAACAAACCGCGAAAGATCGGACATTGAATCAACCACGGACTGCCCTTATGGGTAATTGCTCCACGACAAAATACCAAAGCCAAAGCTTGTACACGGTTAGTGGGTGGTTGACTCAATGTCTGATATTTTGCAGTTTGTTTACATGAAAAGTTACGCGATACTACAAGTGAAATTTAACGACGAGAAGGTGAATTAATTTAAACAAGTGATACAGATAAATATGAACGAAAGGACTAATGAACAGGAGCTTGTAATCTTAGTTTTTTTTTGGTATTGAGCTGGGGAAAAATACGATTTAGAGAGAAAATACTGCGATTTAGGAACAACTAAGAGTTGCTGAGTTCCAATCAGACTGTGAGAATCTCCAGGGATGTCAAAATGAAGGTAATAAAATACTCTAATAATTCCTTTTGAAACAAGAACTACAAACTAGAGATATTGTAAGTTATATTCCTTTCTGACGAACAAACCTTTGTTTCACAGCCAATCTTAGCATAAGGACAGCAGATTATGGTCTGTGGACAATCGTCTTTGATGTGACTTGGAACCTAAAGGGATGTAACCGTTTTAGTACAAAACAGTCTGCATGCATATAGAATCAGAACAAAGATGGTTACGTATTTACAGTTAAATACATAGCGCTTTCAGGCAATTGAATCGATCACTGAAAGGAACACAATTCCGTTTCGCACATTTATAGGTCAAATTCACAAAAACACCGGAGCCAGGTTTTTTTTAAAGTAAAGAGGTAATTCAGCCCGCAAGCAACACAAATGAATAAATTACCAAGGGGTCTAAAGTAAAAATGAGTTTAAGAAAAATGAAAAAAGTTAATTATCTAACAGCAATTTAACAAAAACGATTGAGAGTGGATTCTATTAGCACCGAAAGGCTCATTGTTTCGGAAAGAAGGAGTGCTCTTGCCTTGAATCTGAAAGAAAGAACAAAAACAAAAAAAAACAAAAAAAAGAAAGAAAGAAAAGTGGACTACCCACAATTTCCCTAGGAATGGAGTGTCCACAGCTGTTTGGGCAGGTTATTGGGAACTTGCTGCAGCAAGGAATGTGTTCCTTAAAGAGATGAGATAGTTTAGGACAATTTTTTTACACTGTTGGCACTAACTAGGAAGTGTACCTGATGATTCTGATAAAGTGCTGTATATTAATTAAAATCGGACTGGATTGCATCAAAACCAGGAAAATGCTACCAATTTTTAGTCAAATACGAATATACGAACCAGCAATGTCTTTTTTCCAAGATCTTCGAGTGGGGAGATAAATTTCCGGTATTTTTTTCGTCAACCAAAGTTAATTGTCTATAACCCAAACACAGGAAATAAGGTGCAGAGAACGAAAGGAAATAAAAGGAAAAAATGTATGAAACTCAGTTCAGTTGGACAACGTTGAAGATTTATAACTTATACTTGTTCTTTTACCGGCATTTGACACTCTGGGTGTGGCTCACAACAGTATTTGCATTCGACAATTCTCCACTGACAAGTGACGGTCACGTGTTGCTCATGGTGTTGTCGTTGTACTTCCTCGTGACAGTTGTCGTTTGTACAGGGTATGACTTTGAACAAGCAAGTATTCAAGTGACTCTGTTAGAGATAAGAGAAAATCATGTCTACTTAATTTAAAGTTGGAGATAATTAAGCCAAGTTTTATCTCCTCAATTATTCTCATTGAAGTTTCACATAATTGATTAAACGTCACCGGTATTTTGCCATCAGTCAATATTTAACTCTAGATTAACGCTGATTCAAAGAGGCACACTTATTTCCTAGAAATATATTTGTTGTGAATTACATTAAATTGAGTCGAGCTTTTGAAATGATGATCAGTGAAGTCAAGTAGGTTCATTTCGTCAAAAAGGTCAAATCAAAAACGCATATGTATTGTATGTATTTTCGATATTTAGACAGGCTGTCCATTTCAGCTTTAAGCTGATTAATGTGGGCCTGTTCAAACAATGACAAGGGCAGACCACAACACCAAGAGCTAAGTTCCCTACTCTTTGTGAGAAGTGCGTGGGTTCTTTAACGTCCTCTGCTAACAAGTGCGGAGAAGAAGCAGGAGACAGGGCCTACGGCTTATAATCACTGTCCTTATCTGAGAAGACTGGAATTTCTAACCATTGCAGATTTCATAGCAAAGGCAGCATATTATCTGTAGTTATTTTCAGACCCTGAGTTTTGGTCCATTCTAATGCCTGTATTTACCTCTTTACTCCTCAATTCTCCAGTCCATTCACATCCATCACTTGGACAACGAATGGCAAAAGAAAGAATCTTCCTTTCAGTTGCTTTGTCAGGAAAAATATCCTGTAGGAATTGAGTAAAGAAGAAAAAGAGTAAGTTAGAATATACCATAATTATTGTATTATTTGAGGATTTCCAAATGATTATATGGAACCAAGGAATTTATCTAAGGTTTGTATCAATGAGTTAATTCAACGATGATCGACGATCTATGATGACGTTTGATAATTTTTACAGGCCGAGCCAGAAACTTTGGAAATCTTATTATAGTTTTCAATGATTTTGTTATCTAATGTGTTTCCCCCCGTAAGGTTCGTCCTATAACCCTCAAAAGATTTTCATTAATTACATTGTTGAAATTTTGTAAAGTACACCTTTGATGATTGATTCGCGTACCTTGTCTCTATCCAGACTGTATCTGTCCACGGGGCAAGTCAAAGGTTCACCACGAACTTCCTGGCTGTTTCATATTTTGAAATAGTGAAAAAAGACATAATTTGGGCATGCATTAACTCAAGGAAAGTGTCGCTGTTGCGTGTATGCAGAGTATGTATCTCACAGATTATTGTGTCTGAGAATTTACAGTTATAATAAATAGAACTAGAATAAATTTCTGTCCAATGAAATTTGGACAGTTAAAGATAAAATCTTTGTCACGATACGTGAAATCCATCAGCAAAATTTCGATCTATTTGGTAGCGAAGTTCCCGTCCACGATAAACATGCCTTCATGAAGTTTAGATCGATTTTTATGATTTTAACTTTCATCTTTATTCTGTATGAATAAGAAGCCTTATCAGTAGATTTAAGAATGATTCATTTCTAGCTTTACTCGTAAAGGCCATGTTATTTTCAGGAAAATTTGGTCGAATATTCAAGCTCACTGGGATTAATTGACTAGTTTAAGAAAATTCAGGGAAGCGTTTCGAATTATCACAACTAAGCCATTTGGTCCCTGTAATAAGCTTACAAATGAGTTCAATTCCCTGCTTCGTTCATAAAATATTTATAAAATCGATAAACCACAACGGCTGAAGGAGAATTTTGGAAAGCACCTCTTAAATATGCTGGAATGATGAACGCTGTTACAAGAATACCGATCGCATAACAAAAGCGGTATTAAGATATATTTGCATGATGTGCATCATCGACCATTTTTATATTTAACTAAGCTTTTCAAAGTATTATGAGCAACATCCCTTCCTATTGCAAGCATTATGGTTTTTATCAAAAATTGCAATCGAAAATTTTCTATCAGGAAGCTTTTAATTTAATACCTTATGCTTTGTTAAAGAACTTTTTACTTTACTCGAAAGGTATATTGTTAACAAGAAGCCGCACCTTCTTAAATGCTCCTCAAGGCATTCTTTACAAAATCTGTGGCCACATCTTGTAAGAACCAGCTCCTTAAGAGTCAACTGGCATATAACACAAAGAAACTCATCGTCAACTGCATTCACAAAGTCTTCGTCATAACCTGAAGGTAAATGATTTCCTGAAGCTTCCTCCATTATAAAGAGTCACGCGAAAGTGAAACTAAACAGTGATCTTATGGGGTCAAACTCAAACGACGTCAGTTTTGACCTTTGAATAATTTTGCCTCACATAATCTGTTTTTCCGCTTGTCGGTGTGTAATGTGTGACTAAAGTAACTGCACGTCAACTGTATGGGCCACTTTCGATCTTTTGACTTTTTGATCCAAGTCTATTAAATGAATTGAATTTCTCCAGTACATTGTATAGCATTGAACCCTCTAAGGCCCCTCAGTCTTTATACTAAAATACCGGTTCATGTTATTCAGAAAATATATTTTCTCACACGTGATTAAGTTAAAAACTTTGACCAGAAAAAAGCAGAAGATATAGCAACTGTTTGGACGAACTAATGAACTATTACAGTTTCTCTAAGAGAAAGTGGCCACCCAAGTAGTAAGCTGCAGTAACCTCACTGCCTTACGTCAGTTGTATTGGCCAGTTTGAAAATCCGCACACACACGCACACACACACACATAATAGATATCTCCAAAATTGCGACTCTATTTTCACAGTGCCTCTTCTCACCCAGGAGTATAAATGAGTTCTGCATAGCTGGAAAATGGATGAGTTGTCAAGGGGCTACCTGGGACTGGCAAATTTCCCGTCCCGGAGGGGTAACAGTTATACTCTCACGTGCTATTGACACTGATGGAAGATTCAACATGGAGAGAGCTTGAGAGAGCACCAGCAATCTCTTTCTTTTAATATGGATATCATAACACTACTGTATATGTAGTTTTCCACTCATCCTCGGTGTAATAGTAATCCTCGATGAAATGACAATATCTATACAATTTTATTAGGAATTCACCAATTATCCTAAACGGCTTTAGTTACTACTATTGTTATTATTATTATTATTATTATTATTATTATTATTGTTATTATTATTATTATTTTTAATATTCGTGCTCAAATTAAAACTATTCCTGCGCTCTCCTCTTCCAAAGGCCTTTTATAGTTGTGTGGATAATCGCCTGTAATGAACTCCGTAGTTACATTTTCCTTCTGGTTTGGATCTTCTTGCTGGTCAATCAAAGTAAATGTCACTTTCTTCTTCAAAGGCCAAGGTAATATGGCGTCATAATCACCTCTTTTTACAGCAATGAACACAGAGAGGTACGAACTCTGATAATTGCCGTTAGGACAGACACTCACTTGTAACTTGTAGCCATAACTTTCTGTGGTTGTTGAGTAAAACGGATCACTTTTTAACTCTTCCTTCCCTTCATTCGTAGCTTGTTTTAAAACTTGATCAAAGTTGCCAATCCTCCAAATAAACAGACGTGTATCCACGAGTCTCTTTATGGCACCAAGCTCCTTAGCTGTATCCTTCAACTTCGCACAAGCGAAATCAAAATGTGATTTGATGTCGATTTCGAGGTGATGATCCACCTCGCGCCGAAGAATCTAATTAATAACAACTATGGTCAATTTATGAAAAATAACAAAAACAAAAACAAACCAAAACAAAACAAAAAAAAACAAAGACAATAGTTTCTCTCTTGAGGAAACGTTCTCCAATCAAAGTTAAAAACGATTTTTGCCAAACTACTTTGTGGGCATGAACTCAGCTCTAACTCTGGAGTCCAGAAGTGACTATTTACTATTCTACACATGTTTACTTCCTTGTCATATGCGAATGTTCTTTATCACGTGTTCTAGCTAGTACATCTGAGAACAGTTAGGGTTGATAATAATTCAGTTACTATCAACATTATTTTTAGCGAAAAAATATGAAACAAGCAATGTTGGGTCATAGTTTAATTTATTAATTGTCTTAGGGAATATTTCTCTCAACTTCCGACTTTATGCACGCAAAATCCAAAGTCAAATATAATTGTTGACAAAATTTTAGTTCGTAAACCTCAAAGCAGAAAAAGAAATGCCAGGTAAAGATTTTCTCCAGATTTAAACCCTAATAATCTACAGGGAAAAAAGGTGCTCAAATACCCATAATTTTCTCTTTTGATTTCTATAACCTTCGTTGAGATCTCTTTATCTTGTAGTCATGAGTTGACTACCTTTCTTGTACTAGGCACTATCCCTAAACCTGGAGGTACACATGTAGATTGCGTGAAGCCTCTCAGACTAACATATTAGCACATACCTTTCTTTCGCAGCCAAGATATTGATAGGGAAAGTTTATTCTTTCTAGTGGACAAATAGTCTGAGTGTGATTGGTGATCTGAAAGAAATTATCAACATCAATGCACAAGCAAATGAACAAGCACCACTGCACTGAGGCATTTTTGTAACGTGTAAAGTGATACATGTAGTTAACAGTCTGTATTGTGACAAGTCCATAGGCCCACCCACATAGAGCTTATCCTAGTTCCCATGGCATGAAGCAACAAGGAGTATCAATTCTCCCTCTTAGATGGGATGCTTGTCCAATGCAAGGTTACCCCCCCCCAACATTTTATCAGGCTTCCCTGATAATTCACTAGTACCCATTTATACTACTGGGTGGAGAGTGGCACTGAGAGAGTAAGGTGCTTTCAGCCCAAGAACAGAACACATTGACCTGGCCTGGTCTTGGACCCAGAGTTCAGCACACTAATCAGCAACCCAATGTGTCATTTAATACTGCAACTATAGATAATTTTAGTGTACTTCAATGTCTAAAAAAGGGAGGAGCTTAATAAGTTCTATTTCAGATAACCCTAAGTACTATCACACATAAACAAAGACAAACACACATACGCCTAATATCAGAAAAAAAATATGAAAAACTTACCGCCTCTCTAGGAATAGACTTGCCACACTTGTTGGGGCAACGTAGTTGAACCTTTGGGCATTTTTTAACATGATTCTGCAAAGTTAAAGGAAAAAAAATTGCTACAAACAAAAAAAAAAAAATAAGTATAGTCTAATGATGATAAACTGATACATTTTGTAATAAATTTTTGGCTGTCGTATGCCATGGAACATAATGTGAGTGTTAAATTTTCAAGAGATGAACATGAGGCTAAGGAATCTGGTTCAGGAGAACATGCCAGACCTATTGGTAAAACTTCCCTACAATATCTAACAATAATATAGTAATAACACTAATAATAATAATTACAGAAAATGATAAACAACAACAATAATGATAATAATATTGATATAATTATTTAAGCCCTGCAATGGGACATAAAGGAGCAAGACAAAGATAAACATATAGACAAAAATCAGAAGACAAGATTTAATTTTCTCACTACTTTTCTGCATGGTTCACTAGTATGCAAGTCTCAACTTCGTGAGCTTAGATTTCATGGCTTGGGACCAGAAATATCCTATATTAATAAAACTGACCTAGTGGTCAAGGGAACAGGGTTTGAAGTTACAGCTATGGCTAACTTCAAGAATTGATCAGATGCAAGTAAAGAATGATCTTGCAAGTACATGTAAACTACAAATTAAATAGGAAATTACAAGAAAGAATGTGATTAGCTGTAACAGTTCTCAAATAGCTCTATACCATTCAACATTCAGTTTTTCCTAGAAGTAAAAGGTCAAGATGACCACACACTATAATATCAACATAACCTGGGGTGCTTGGAGTGTCACTTGATTATAACATAATTCAGCCTTGATGCGCTCTAACCAGAAGTCACCTGCCTTGATCTTGTTCCTTTTGGTAGATCCACATGATTTATACAATTACCTTCATCTCACATTTTGGGTATGACCCATTGCATGTACACACTTCATGATTCTCCACTGACAGCTGATCTTCAAATGGCCATCAAGATTAATCTATCTGACTTGGACTTGACACTTTTCATTTGTGCAAGGGATCAATTTCCACTGACAGCTCTTTAGGTGGGTCTGATACATGAAAAATAGAACATAGCAAATTCAAAGAACAGAACAGAGTAATTAAAACAAAATTAATGCTATACACAGTGCATGCTTTAATAGTTATCAGAGGAATCTTACCATACAGTTGTGGTTGGATTTGTATGAATGAGCATGGAGATTGAGCAAGATACATGTAGTGACATCAACCTTGCATTCATTTTTGTATTAATTTTTATATGATCTTGGTCCACAAAACTCTTAAGAGGATGGCCAATACCAGGCCATCTTGACCAAATAAGTTTTGTCAATAACGCATATATTGTTGTTTGTTATACCCTTTGAGGTCATGGTGTTACCAGAATTAAATTATTGTCTTTAAGGTCCTTGTAGGGTGTACACTAACTTGGCTCAAACCATCAAGCTCAAATTAGGGAGAAACACAGGCTTACATGTAGCAACTGATAGAGTAGTACTGAAGCATTAGGCCAGTTGGTTTTTTTTTGTTGTTTCTTTCTCTCTTTATTTTTTTTACCTCCTTCTCCCTCAATTCACCAGTCCGGTTACATCCAGATGAGGTATATTCCATTAGGGTATATCCAGATGGGGCACATTTGTGATTTGGACATCTAATGGTTAAAGAAAGTATCTTCCGTTCTGTTGCTTTGTCGGGGAAGACATCCTGAAAATGTATATAAAAAAATGTAATGTTTAATTATTGACATTATTACAATTGCATTTTAGATACAGAAATTTATGCACTCACACTTAGGGAATGGGAATGGGCTCAAACAGGTTATCTTGCCAAGTGACTTACATTGTAATGATGTATTCTACATCTTCATTTCTTTCCACAATTTCTTCCAGGAGAATCTTAACACCCCAGTGAATTTCACAGAAACTTCCAGAAAGTAGCATGTCACACATGTTTACTAAAAAAGATTGATTTCAATTTGTCAAAAGGTTCAGGAGATATTTTATGAGTAGTGACATATGGGACCATCAATTTGCAACAAAATATAAAATTCTAGAATTGATCTAGTTCAAGATATCTTATGGAAAATGTGTTTAATTGAATCATGTTTAAAATTTTTTCTGACCAGGAAAGTAACATCATGGGCTTGTCGACTAATTAATAACTGTGAATGTAAATTCACAATTTTTAATTAATATTTGTGGTAAATTTATGCATAAATTATTCCATCATGTTTATCTCAACTTGTAAAACAGTGGCAAAATATGTTAAAAATATATCTATATTTAAAATCTTTTAAATTTGATAGCCAGAGCAAAGGGAAATGGGAAAATTTAAGCCTAATAATAGCACTCTAAGTTTGGTTCCCTCTAATATGTTATTTCAATGCAACTTCTTCATATTAGGAACATGCAAATGCAAAAAATGTGTTGCTACATATCAATTAAACATGCACAACATATTTCAGCTGATTAGTTCAATTCGAAAATTCTTCAGTCAATAGTACATTGAATTAGTACTGTAGTTTCATTTAAAGCCATTTACCTTGTCTGTATCCAATTTCTGCCTGTCTTCTGGGCAAGTAATACATGTTTTGCTGCTCTCCTGTCTGTTAGAAAAATTTACATTTGTATAATTACTATAATATTTAAATCAAGCCTTACAACAATACTCAAAGGACTTGTATTATAAATGCTCCATGATGAATCAAATGGTAAGGGGAACAACAGATAAAAATCCCTCAGTGACAGGTCAGACACCTTAATTCTATTGATTACTACCGATTTCCACAGATAACCAAAGGAACCAAATTAGACAAAACTAAAAACCCAAGGAGGTTTGCAAGCCACTCTTATTTTAATGGAGAAGAAAAGCTATGAGCCCTGCAGTTGTGCAAAAGCTGATTAGCACTAACCCGGAGTCAAATTCTAGTACAGGTTTCTTTATTCTCAGAAAGGCATATGATAATAGTTAACAATGAAAAAGTTAACAACAAGAAAGTACCAACAGCTATCAAATATGAAGCAAACAGATGCATTGAAACAATTAGGCCCATTTCTGTTCTTCAGTCAAGTGATATGACTCAAAGGAAAAAAAAAGTCTACTAAGGGATTATTTATTGATCCAATATCAGATTCTCTAAACTACATAACTCTAACATCATAAGAATTGTAAAGCAGGCAGTAAGGAAAATGATTAAATCAGATCTGGGATTAAAATGGTTACGTTTATTGGGCGTAGCTTGTAATTCATGGCATAAAGTGTTTAAAAGGAAAAAAAGAAACTAATGCTTTCAATTTCATTGCAAATCCATTAATTAAACACAAGTTGATGAATTACTCAACTTCAAAGCTTTAAATATTACAATAACTGTAAATTAACCCTTTGAAACCTGGGAGTGACTAACTTTTAATTTCTCCTTACAATACTAGGTTATTATGCTGTAAAGTGACAGAATGTGCAGTCTATCACTTTTATAAAATAACCAGAGGTTTACTGATGCAGTAAATGATAGGTTTTTGATCTATTACAATCTGAATATACATACAGTATTTTCATTGCTTAGGATATGTGTTGTTACAGGGATATTTCTATTTAATTGTGGGTAGATCTGAAACAAAAGTTGTTTTTGGTAGGAAATGAGTGGTAATTTTCTTCTTGATCAGCAGGGATTTGCTAAAGCAAAGGCATAGAAAAAACCAGGAAAGATTTATTACTCGACGTTTCGGGGTCATCGTGACTCCATTATCAAGAGACTAGTTTAAAAACATGCAAATAAGGAAAGGTACAAGAATAGCATAAATTAGAATGAACGGCTTAAACAAACACCTTGGCGCGGATGGAATCCGTTTGCACGTTCAGTGTTGGCTTACGCATGCGAATATACAACATTTCATTAACAAGGCAATCAAATTTGCCGTTACATTTCGCGATGACGTTGAATTGCTCGATCAAGCGTTCAGGCATTTCACTATTGTGCTGGAGGTGGTAGTGTTTGTAGATAGAAGATGATTTCCTTGTGTGCCCTTCTACGCGCTCGTGTAAGTGACCACGAGTATAGCCCACATACCCTGCATCACACAGGTTACATTTAAATTCATAAACGATACATTGTTGGTTAACAATAGGGGGCTTAATTTCGTGTTGCTTAAGCTGTTGATCGAGCTTAGGGCTAACGAACACTGGTTGGACAGTCACGCTTAACTTCGAGCTTAGACTGTTCAGTTGTTGTTTAACATGATTAGCTGACGACTGGTCCTTGAAGGGTAACACTAATCTCACAATCTCCGATGGTACGTCTGGTGATGGACAGGGCTCTGCAGATGAAATCCTTCTCTCAACGAACCGCTTGATTGTAGTTTCAACCAGTGGCTTTGGGTATTTCAAGTTATGAAAAACCCCTCTAAGGCGGTCACATTCCTCGGAGAAGAAAGACCAGTTAGAAGATAATCGATAAGCGCGATCCACCATGGTGTTAACTAGGCTGCGCTTGTACTTAATGTCAACATGACTCTGGAAATGCAGAAGGAGACCCGTGTTGGTTCTTTTGATGTAGACCTTGCTCTCAATCTTTGGTGCACGGTTAAGCAGTTCAGTTCCTAGAAAGGGAAGGGATCCTTCCCGTTCGACTTCCATGGTAAAATGGAGGGAGGGATGGGTAGAGTTAAGGGTGTCTAGAAACTGGCCAGCGGTCACCCTATCAGGCATTACGGTCAGGGTGTCATCGACGTACCTCCGGTAATAGCGCGGAAGTTGACCGTGTTGTTCGAGGTTTTCCTCAATCGAGCACATGAAGACGTTAGCCAGCAACGGTCCAAGGGGAGAACCCATAGCGACTCCATCTGTCTGCTCATATAAAGCACCGTCAAACTGGAAAAGCTGGTTTTTCGTAGCTGCTCGGAGGAGGTCGATTAGGTCCGCTTTAGAGATGTTCAAGCTGTGCGTCTCGTTGAACCAATCCTGGGCAAAGGCTTTTTCAGCTAAGATCTGTATTGTTTCCTCCAATGGTACATTTGTAAACAATGAGGTGACGTCATAGGTAACTAAAATTTCGCCGTTCTTGATCTCGAAGCCTCGTACTTCATCAGCAAAGCGGAATGTGTCTGTCACTGTATATTGGTTGCACGACAGGGGTTTCAATTTGTCGTCAAGCCATTTCGCTAGCGAGTAATTGTAGGTGTTAGTAGCAGAGAGTATTGGCCGCACGGCCAACTGTTCTTTATGTGTCTTCGGCAAGCCATACAAGTGTGCGAGTCTGGACCCTTTCGGGCGGAGAGCGTCAGCAATGGATTTCGGTAGAATCTTTCGAACGAGAGTTTCCAATTCCCTTTCTTTCTGAAGGAGAGGGTGGTAATACTTAGGAGGTCGTCCTCTGGTTCTCGGTCTCTCCGAGTCGACGAATCGGAATTTGCTGGTATCGTTTATTGACGCTTCGGATAGTAGGCGAAGATATTCTGATTTATCCATAACAACAACACCAGACCCTTTATCCGGTTTTGTGACAACGATGTCAGTTTCTCTGTAGAGAAGCCTTGAGATCTTTCGAGTGTGAGTGTTCGTAACTTCAAGTTGGAGTTTATTCCGAAGCATAGTGATGGTTCGTAAGATGCACATATAGCGGAATAGTGAACAGGTCTGACGGATTTCATCATAGATGCCATTGATTTCCTCTCGAAGTACCATACTCTCCTGTATTCTTACTCTGAGCTCCTCCGCGATCACGTTCTTTGTAAAGGAAGCAGATGATTTCTTCCACTTAGCACGCCTATCTTTGTCGATCTTGGCAAAAGTAGGTGTGAGTTCGAAGCTCTGGCATAGTCGTAGAAAGTTGATTGATCCCTCGCAGTTGATTTGCTTTTTGCTACAGCGTTCGAGTTTCCGAAACAGATGTAGCTGATTATCTCTTTTCAAACACTTGATCAGCAGGGATTTGCTAAAGCAAAGGCATAGAAAAAACCAGGAAAGATTTATTACTCGACGTTTCGGGGTCATCGTGACTCCAATACAGATCTTAGCTGAAAAAGCCTTTGCCCAGGATTGGTTCAACGAGACGCACAGCTTGAACATCTCTAAAGCGGACCTAATCGACCTCCTCCGAGCAGCTACGAAAAACCAGCTTTTCCAGTTTGACGGTGCTTTATATGAGCAGACAGATGGAGTCGCTATGGGTTCTCCCCTTGGACCGTTGCTGGCTAACGTCTTCATGTGCTCGATTGAGGAAAACCTCGAACAACACGGTCAACTTCCGCGCTATTACCGGAGGTACGTCGATGACACCCTGACCGTAATGCCTGATAGGGTGACCGCTGGCCAGTTTCTAGACACCCTTAACTCTACCCATCCCTCCCTCCATTTTACCATGGAAGTCGAACGGGAAGGATCCCTTCCCTTTCTAGGAACTGAACTGCTTAACCGTGCACCAAAGATTGAGAGCAAGGTCTACATCAAAAGAACCAACACGGGTCTCCTTCTGCATTTCCAGAGTCATGTTGACATTAAGTACAAGCGCAGCCTAGTTAACACCATGGTGGATCGCGCTTATCGATTATCTTCTAACTGGTCTTTCTTCTCCGAGGAATGTGACCGCCTTAGAGGGGTTTTTCATAACTTGAAATACCCAAAGCCACTGGTTGAAACTACAATCAAGCGGTTCGTTGAGAGAAGGATTTCATCTGCAGAGCCCTGTCCATCACCAGACGTACCATCGGAGATTGTGAGATTAGTGTTACCCTTCAAGGACCAGTCGTCAGCTAATCATGTTAAACAACAACTGAACAGTCTAAGCTCGAAGTTAAGCGTGACTGTCCAACCAGTGTTCGTTAGCCCTAAGCTCGATCAACAGCTTAAGCAACACGAAATTAAGCCCCCTATTGTTAACCAACAATGTATCGTTTATGAATTTAAATGTAACCTGTGTGATGCAGGGTATGTGGGCTATACTCGTGGTCACTTA